CGACAAAGAATGAACGTTTTTTCTCCTTTTCTCGTGAATCTTGCAGCACGAAGTATTGATAAAGGCAGTTTTGAACAACTCCTCCCACCGAGAATTTTTATTCTGAAGAAATGATTGAAGAATTATTTAAGCTGAACAAGTGGTAGTCTCGTTTCATTTTAAAATTCAGCTCACACCGTAAATATCACAGTACGAGCGTGGTAGAGTTACCATTGCTAGGTATGGTATATCTACGCTGCTCAACGACGCTTTGATTCCTTTTTCTTTCAAAACGATCTGGGCTGAGTTTCTGAGTACGAATAGATCTATAATACCGCTCGTATTTTATTGAAAAGGCGACGCAAAGTCGCCCGATTCATGTGACATCACCGCAGCGTGGCCATATCTCGCTTCAGAGTGGACAAATTTTCAATCCAAGAATACCATTTGACTCAACTCGGCGCGGCGGATTTACTGATACATTGAAGTGCCCAGTTGGACACAGTAGTAGGTCAGATTCCACGAATCGTTTCAGATTTTTGCTTACGACATAGTTGTAGGTTATTCAGTGTGTTCATTTATTGCTCTCACTAAGTATCCTGCAGTAGGCAAAGATTTGAGACGATTCGTGGAATTTGGCCTCCTACTGCACCCAAACAAGTGCTTGTATACGCCAGAAGATGCGCCGCGCTTAGCTGAGTCGAGTGGTGCCCCTGAATTAAGTCCACTCTGAAGCGATATGGTCACGCTGCGATGATGTCACATAAATCGGGAGACTTTGCGTCGTTTTCAAAAAAAGAGCGGTATAGTGTGTGCCCATAGGCAACAGCTTAGCTAAGGTCTCCCACACAGTTGCCACTAGGTAGTCCAAGTATCCAGGTTTGAACTGCACTGCATGGAAAAGTAGAGGTAGTCGTTATTTGGTATTGGGCATAAAATATATGCATATACATATATACTCTCAGAATATTGTAATTTTTGTATGACTTACTGTTAAAAGCCACATGTAAGCATTTGGAATCAACGGATTCCATAGCTTGGGCTCTACGATGGTTCAAACTTTCAAACTTTCAACCTTACTCGTGTTTATGGCGAACGTGATGAATACGCCACAGTGAAAAATGGAAGTATTGCTAAAATACTAAACTGACTGTTCATGATCCTTCCACTTATACCACATTATTTTAAAACCACGAAAACTTCGTCGGCACGAATCATCGTGGCTGTTGCTACCCTCCTTTACGACAGACTATATTGGCAGCATCGTAATCAATCTTTGATCCATTTTACTCTTTATTTGTTTTCATGAGCAGTTCGAAAATGCTTTTGAGTGGTTGATCCCAAAATATTATATTCCTCGTTTGAGTGCATATGTCCTACACAGCTATTATGACCCCATGTAATACTATATAACATTGCATAAGCATGCATAGTCTGGCCATAGATCTGACAATGAGTTAACCGGGTATAGAATGAAATAAGCCAACTTTCTACGATTGTTAGTCATAAGAAGTAATCTTCCTCAGTGGTTCGGATGCCTTTTCTACCAAAAAATTCTATTCCATGTATATTATAATGCATAGGACGTTAAAAAGTTGGTGACATCAAACCAAAATGTAACATGTGAATCTGAAGGCTTCTCAGGGTAAAAATCGCCCACTCTTGGAGCAAACCCCTCTCTATTAACAGATCGCAGTAATTTAATCGAAATTCCAAAGAAAACTCTTTTCATATATTGACAAAAGCTTATATTCAGCGCTTTCTCGGAAGAAATAAGAATTGCTACCTATAAACTTTTTTGAGAATTGAAACATTACTTTTCAGCATGTCCATATGCGCGTAACCATAGCTCCTTGTGAAAGCTTCATCTTTCGCTGAAAACTGAAAATGACAAATTTCCACAATTGCACGAATGAATAATACTGCTTTCTCCTTTCTCTCTCCTCCATTATCCGATAGTGCCATCGTACAGATTTCAATTTTCGAGGGTTTTGCTTTGCATATTTCAATTACTATCAATATTACATATCTCAGTTCTTAAATTTGCACCAAAGTCCGGTCGCTTGCCCATCAAAAGCCAATGTCAATGATTGTCATTGGCACGCTGCCAAATTTCTGTCATCCACACCCTTGTCGATTTGTCATCTGCTTTAATGTTGCGGGTTAGAGGTGTACGCGGCTGCTCGATCTGCTATGGGTGTAAGACTTGGGCTAAACAATAGGGGGGGGGGATACTGAGTATTTTGTGCTAAGGCAGAGGGCTCCTAATTTCCCTGAAAATCTCTGGAGTAAAGTGACATCCTTATTACCATAGAGAAGTTCTTGATTGCATTTATTTGTGACTTCTTAGTCCTTCCTTCTCCTCATTTTCGAATTCCCATACCTCAATCAAGTCTCCCAATCTACCACTTTCCATGTTCTTCCCAGTTCTCGTCATCTCGAATTACTCGTCGAGGGTTGGCCCACTTCTGTTCGTGATCGGGCCCAGCGTTCACCTTCGAGCTGTAAAGATCCGTTCGCTTCCCTTTGAAGCGGCCGGGAAATGAGGCAACTGTACACCACACCACACCCAGTCAATTTACTATCCAACTCTAACGTTGACCACAGCCAATTAACAATCTTGTCCGTTGGGCAGAAAGTAAAGAAAATTTTTTGTATTCTTGCAAAAATTTCTTTTATCTTTCTTCTTCAAAATTGTTGGTGCTTTAGTTAGAACTGTTGCAATATGTGTTTGCTAATGAACTCTCTGATCTAATTTTTTTCACTAAATGTGGCCCTCATTCTGACCGTCTGTAGTCATTATGATTGTACCCTTCTTCCTTACTTGTTCCTCGCGCATCCAAAATTTTTTATATTTATCTTTTTAAAATCACATTTTGACTCTGTTCCTCATCGTAAATTTCATTTATCTACTCCGGTAGTCACCTTTTATAAAGGGTGTCCCAAAAGTATGTATACACTGTTTGATATTTTACTTCCCAAGGAATCTTTTACCTACCTCAAGGTGCCATTTTGTAGAGCTGGCTTCAACTTAGATTCACAGTATACAGCAAGCCACCGATCGCTCTTTGATACTGTAGGATTATGGTAGGATTTTGGCTTACCCCGCCATTATGGATTAGCCGTTTCAGAAAAGTTTCCAAAAAATTCTGAAAAGTGGTGTACCAGGAATTTTACGTGCACTGATTTCAATACACTTTCTAGGCGTTTGCAAAGCTTTTCAAAGGGTGTGATTGCAATTTTAGGGAACATCGTAAAAACAGTTATTACTGTTAAGGGGCATAATTCATGAAGGAAGCATTGGAGTCAAATGCAAAGGTCATATTTGGTTTTAGCGACTTTAATTAGCCTAGTGTAAGAGTTTCCAGATTGTTTGGTTTGCTTTCTAAGGCGAAATAGGGCTCTCAATGGTTCCAAACCCTTCTTAAACCTACCGTAATCCTACATTATTAAATGAAGATAATTGATTCCTCCATACTGTAAATCTAAGTTGAAGCCTGCTCTACAAAACGGTACCTAAACGCAAGTAAAAAATTTTTAGGGAACAGAGATATTAATTATCAAACAGTTATACATACTTTTGGGAAATTCTGTATTTGTTTGATTTCTTTCGCTTTTACAACTTTGAGTTCAAAGCAATCTTTACTAAGCAAATTTAGGACAGCTGTAAAGAATGTGGCCCAGAATTTATTTTGTAGCAGAAATCTGTACATTACAGTCTAACTTCTTTTAAGATTTTTTCTATCTGAACTTTGAAGGTCTTCATCTTCCTCTTAAGCTCTAAATATTCCTCAGCTCAAATACTGAAATTTTTCTATATCCTAATGTTCGCGAAACTCTGCTGTCACATTTCTATTGCTAATGACTAGTTTTTTTCCGATAGTAATACTCATTATGCGCATGGGCTGTGCACTTAGCACTAGGATATGTTTTTGTAAAACTATACGTTCGAGTACGTCAACGAGCTCATAGAGAAGTAGACGTATGATGAAACGATCAACGTACTTTTCTATACGAAAAAAACTGGAAGCGTCTAGAAGTCTGACATATTATATTGGTCAAAAAAGTGGCCATTATGGACGAAGTTTTTGAAGGTAATTATTTTTTCTAGGGCCTCTTCATCTCGAAAATGTGCTCAGATAGGAATGGTTTTTTTGTTTCTGTCTTGAGACAGTGTTTTTTCTTATTTAAAACTTTTTTTAAACTTCCTATTTGGTAGTAATCACATTTCATGTAGCTATAAATCAAGTAATTATGTAAATAAACAGATAATTTTCGTGATCAGCAGATGCTGTGACAAGCTTTCATATGAATTCTACGACCTGAAGAGTTGTTTTAAGAAAACCATTGTTATTTTCCGTTCTCTATCAGCAGATATGCTGTATTCTCTGACGAAGGCTGCGAGGACATAGAAGCGGCGCGATGCGAGCGCGGTTGCATGAGCTGTAGGACGCATGAGTGGTCACAAAAACTCTATACACAGATTCACAGCGTTCAACTCTGACTATTTTAGTACTTATTATTTGACCAGTCATTTTCCTTCTTTACATTCTCACAATGCTGAATGAGTTGCACCAATTTGAAGAATAACTTTGAAACTGTAAAATGCAACCTTGAGTATTTTCAAAGCTGGAACATGAAATAGAACAGTTGTGAACATCGTTATTCATTGAGATCAATACTGGTTACGATTTATATAGAAAAATTGATATCGTTAAGAAGGACAAAAAGTCGAAACTTGTTTTTCTCACCTTTTTTGTCTAATTTTGACTTCTGATATTTGATGGCAGTGCTGTAAACTTCGTTCGCCTATTTACCTCGTTTCTTCCATTGTTTTTCTCGACCAACGCCGCTTCCTGGCAGCTCGTGCCTAGGCTTCAACTTATTTTTCACCCGTCTCCATTTGACAAGCTATTGTGTGAACAAATTATATGCTGTTGATGTCTCGGTGAGTGTGGCGGGTGGCGGCAGTGGCGCGTCCACCCGCGCCTGTGCTGACATTCCCGAGACGGGGGGGGGGGATGTGTGCAGGGGGCTGCTCTCGCCATTGCTCACCTCCAACCACACCACGGCAACTGTCCGATGTTTTTAATGCCGAGTCTTGTCTCCACGTATATCAGCTAAAGATCCCCGTCCGTCCGTTGCTCCGTTCCACGACCACATCGATACGCCAGCGGTGTCGCTTTCGGCGCTTTTTCGTGCAGTTTCCGTAATTTCACGTGATATTCGGTGCGTTTTTTGCAGGTCGCAGAACGGACTACGCTCATCGTCGTTGACCGCGTTGATTACCTAGTGGACACCACCAACAACAGCCGTGTGCCCTTTTTACAATGCGGCTTGTAGTTTATCTCTTACTACTCGCTTCTGGTCGATCGATATTGGCCTTAGGCGGACAAGGATTGGTCAATCCACAGAGTGCCTGCAACATACGGTAATTGCTTGAGATACGGTAGCGAATCGATATATCGATCATACTGAACATGATGTGACTTCTGAACAATTCATAATACCCTGATTTTAGGTGTGAAAATGGAGGCATGTGTGCCTTTTCCTTCGATAATCCACAGTTCCATACTTGTATATGTTTGATGGGGGTGTATGAGGGCGAAAGATGTGAATATGAAGGTTTGTTATACTTTTCTTTAAGCGATATCATCTTGACAGAGTCTCATGCAGAAAAGCATCACTACAATTTGATTTTTACTTTGGTTATATATATTGGTAAACTGATATGATTTTCTTTGCATTTTTTCGACTTCGACTGACTTAAGTCTCTCGTTCAACTGCCTGGTGTTTGAATTTTTGTTCAACTTCCTGGTTTGCAGCGTCTGGACAAATTTCTCTACTTTGACTTCGAATTCTCGTTATGTGACCATTGCTCGCGGCAGCTCATAAGATTCGCATGGTTCGAAAAATTAACAGACTGAACTCTATGCCAGACCGTACTCTTTCCAAGCGGACGAGCATGTCTGTAGTACGTTAGGAGAGCTATGGTCCGGAACGAAGCTTAGAGTTGAAGTTAGAGATCTCGGTGACATTGAAACGTGAGCTGGGTAATGATTTGATAAAGGCCTCCCCTTCCATATAAGGAAACCCAAGGAGCTTAACTTCCCCTAGGTACCTGGCTTCCATGAAATACCAAGAAAAATATGACCGAATAACTCGTCAAATTTTTTTCTGTTGGTGCAGATTGATATTGAACTAAGTAATACTCCCTAAAGAAGTTTCTGCCTGACTCAAATAGATTCTATGAACAATTTCCTGGTCTTCGAAATCTCCTCATCCTTCTCATAAAAAATAGTTTCATAAATTGACATTGCTTTCGTTTTCACCACAGCAATCATTTGGACGACTTCAAAACTTAGCTGTTAATTACTCTTCTTTTCACAAATGTATGATTAAGCCTGGACATTCAAAATAAACTTCAATGAACGCTTTTATTTCTAACTATCACTTTTCATTTCGTCACTTATGTTGCTTCTATATTTACACTTCCCTGCTGAGATTGCTGCTTATAAAAACTTTCAAACTCCATTTACTACGCATGATTACATTTCCAACCGTAGTATGAATAAAACCTGTCGAATTCAATCAAAATCGCATCAGAATCGCCTTTTTATAGTTGGTCGGCCAAGGACAGCTCAACAGGAGCAATTACCACCGCAGGGACAGCAACCACCTCGACAACAGCAATCTGCACATTCTCAACCATCGGCGGACGGTGAGAATAAGAAACCACTTGAAATTCAACTGCTTTTGATTCAAATGGGAAAAACTTGTTCTTTACTTACCATTTCCTTCAGTTAGTATCCACTACCCGTACGCATAATCTGATCTTTGATTGAGGGAGCCAAGACTTCATAATTTTGTGCTGATTTGTGTAATTTTTGACAACATTTTCAGATGTTAACAAGATGCGACAACTCGAGATGGAGCGATTGCGGGAAGAACAACGACGGCGAGAACAGGAACTCAAAGTAGAAGCCGAAAGGAGGAAAGTGGCCGAACAAGAGCGACAAGAAGCCGAGCGAAGAAGACAGACAGAACACCAGCGACGAGTCGGTGTGCGTCCGATGCCAGTGCCGGAGCAGAACACCTTGGATCAGCGACAGGAAGTTGAGCGACAAGAAGCCGAAAGGAGAAGACAGGCAGAACACCAGCGACGAGTCGGTGTGCGTCCGATGCCGGAGCAGAACATCGAACAGCAACAGAAAATCGAAGAACTCCGACGACGTGACGAAGAGTTACGGAGAGCAGCCGCCAGAAGACGTGAAGAGGAAAAACGACGTGAAGAAGAGCAGCGAAGACGTGAAGGCGACGAAGACGAGCGAAGAGCGGAAGAAGAGCGACGAAAAGAGTTTGGAAGACGAGAGGAGGATCGAATAAGGGAAGAGCAACGGAAAGCGGAGGAACGGCGAAAGATGGATAGGGCCGATAAGGAGAGATTTATGGAAGAGGAGATGAATAAGGAGGAGGATACGGCAATGGAGCAAGATGATGCTGCTACTGAGGCTAATGTTGTGCTGGGAGAGGATGACTATAGGGATTACAAGAGCGATGAAGGTATTTTTACTAACCTTAAAAAAATTCATTCATTATGAGATAAAATCTTCCAGAAGAAGAGCAAGACGACTACCTTCATGCAGCAGATAAAGAACTGGAAAAGGTAGACATCTCTAAACAAGCGGATATTGAACTTGGAGTCCCTCGTAAGTTCATATTTACTCGCAAGATACAAGTTTTGATCCAAGGGATAGTATCAAGGGACTGATAGCCGCCAGTGAAACGCTACACACCTTGCCAGCTGCGAATTTGCACTATTCAGAGTCACAGCTCCAAAAATATTGATTTATTAGGTTGTCCGGAAATTAATGTCCGTTTTGAATTTCAACCGCAATAAGTCATACACTTTTCATTCTTAAATAGGCTTCAAAGTACCGTTTGATAGAACAAAGCAAGCTCTACAAGATGGCGATCTCGCTTGAGCAACAGCTCTGATCTGCCTCGAGTTTCGAGCAAAAACTAAAATGATTCAACTGCCCGAAAAATTGAGAAAAATCATAGCTCAGTTTATAAGAGACCTACAAAAATTCTAACGTGCTCACGTAAACACTATCCACATAAGACATCTATGTACGCCGTTGCCGTATTTTTTCCTTTGTTAGAAATTAAGAAAACGGAAAGTTTCATGCTTTTGCCAAAGTGATGCTGTGCGGTTCCCACATAAGTAGTTGTATACTATAGACCTGTCGAAGTACAAAAGTAAATCCAGCTCTCTACAAGCTTTAATTCTCGAGAAATTTGAATTTCAGCTTGGACCACCTGACTAATGAAAGCTATAATCGATATTTCTCGAGAACTAAAGCTTGTAGAGAGCTGAAAGTCCAAGTTTGTACTTCTACAGATTTGTAGCATACATCTACTTATGTGGGGACGGCACAGCATCACTTTGGCAAAAGCATGAAAATTTCCGTTTTCTTGATTTCTAACAAAGGAAAAAATACGGCAACGGCGTACATAGATGTCTTATGTGGATAGTGTTTACGTGAGCAAGTTAGAATTTTTGTAGGTCTCTTATGAACTGAGTTATGATTTTTCTCGATTTTTCGGGCAGTTGAATCATTTTAGTTTTTGCTCGAAACTCGAAGCGAATCAGAGCTGTTGCTCGAGTGAGATCGCCATCTTGTAGAGCTTGCTTTGCTCTATCAAACGGTACTTTGAAGCCTATTTGAGAGTGAAAAGTGTATGACTTATGGCGGTTGAAATTCAAAACGAACATCGGACATTTCCGCACAACCTAATAGAAACACATTCCAAAAAATCGACGCAAATGCCAACTTTTATTAGAGTGGTTTATAAATTGCCTAGTCATTCTTGACATGATAATATTGTAAGAAACAGAATCAAACAGTTTAGGCAACGAGCCCCTGGCCGCTGACGATGCTGCTGTAGTTTCAGAAACAGAAAAGCCTGAACATGATCATCAGCTGGGTGAGATCGCTAAGGTGATAGAAGCGGCAGCGGAAGAAACACTAAAGCATCATGACATTGAAGATGAGCGGGAAAGGTTAGAAATTTTTGTTTTGAGAAATAGTAAGACCCTCAGGCTGCGTCCAGAGAGTTGTCTGCGTGTTCGAGCATGCCGGCGCTGTGCCAGCGACGTACCAGTGCTGTGTGGTACCGTGCCTGGTCCCTCCTATAAGCGCGGGTATTGATCGATAGGTTATTGGCACGGCGCTAGCACGGCGCTGGCACGGCAACGCGGACAACCCTGGACACAGCCCTATGCCGTGTTCCCTTTAGAGGTCATGCTTTTTGGGCAAATGATATACAGCGTTGAAAAGTCGCGTGACTTGAAATTTCTCTACACTGTATGCCTCTTCCAAAGCAGTTAACTTATTATTGACAGTGATTCAGTTCATATGCAGGGAAATACTCAAGAAATTGAAGAATAAAGAGTAAATAAGAAGTCGACCTCTTTCCATTGTAAATAAATAAATTTCTAAAGAGTACAATATTTCCAAGTTCTCCGGAAGTTTTCATACACTTTCCAATTTTTGCGTTCAATATCTAGTCCATAATGTAAAGGTGAAACTTGTAGTAAAAAGCATCAGAGATTATTTTTGAAACACCCTCAAACTCGTTGTAATACAAGGAACTAGCAGCTTGAAAAGTTTGCAGATTTCCACGAGATTTGCAAGACGCGTACTTCTTAGTGCAAATACTCACTAATAAATCAACTGAGTTTGTGAGAAGAGCACTATGAGATGATGAGTGAAGATAAGAGGAAAGAACAGTGGTTCACACATGAGCATGAGCTCCAATCATTTAGTAAGTAACTGCGCGTTTCATATTGCAAAACAATTAGAACTTCAGTGATTCATCCAAAAAAAGACAAATAGGCGGTTTAATTGGTATAAAAAGCATTGATGACTGTATTCTTTTTGGGAGTGTATTTTGGCATAGTAAGCTTTTGAAAGGAAATGGTTCGGTTGAGAAAAGTCACATTTTTGAAGAAAAAAGAAATGTCGAAGATCCCTGATCATAAAAACTGAATATAATAGTCCAATATTAACATGATAAGGCATCTTGATCTCTGAACAAGATGTCCAAACGCAAAAGAAGTTAGCATTAAGTGTTCTCAAACTTTCCTACGAAACTTTTTGATACTAACATTAGAGCAGCGCGCTTTCAATCTTCAAAATCTAAATTTTATGGCAAAAGTATGTGTTTGGTCTGTTACAGCTTGCCCTCTAATAACGATCATGACAATGATGATTACTGGGATCATTCAATCAAACGCGAAGATGAAGAATACGAAGTACCGCAAGTAGTGGATTCCGAAGAAGAGCGCGAACTTACGCCAAGTGAGTTTATTTAAGTAGATTGTTATTATACTCGATGCCCCGAGCATTTTCTTACCACATTTGCCACTATTTTACAAACAAAAGGTTTTGATCGTCCTTAACTTCCAAAAATGATTTGATTGGCTGAAGTAACATGTTATGTATATATAATATGTATACCTCAAAATTGTTTATGTACGTCATCTTTTTAAGGGCTTAGATTTTCCTTTTTGAAAGTAAGCAGTTTTCTGCGGAACTGCAAAGAAAATAAGACTTTTGTTATCGATTGAAAGCTCTTAAAACGTCTTCACAGGCGTTCAAAATTTGTCAGCCTAGTCTCAAATTTTCTGAGAATTTTCTCGTTTTGTCTCACCTGACATGAGTAGCTCACAGCACTGCTGAAGTGACCCTTATCTCTTATTTCGTGCAGTAAACTTCGTATAGCGTCAACTTTTCGTAAATTATAAGCTCTTTGAAGGTTTCCAGTTGGAACAGAAAGCCAATGTTTTTGCAGTTTTGTGGAAACCATCTTACCTGAAGTCAAAAATGCAGGCTTGTAGCGGCGAACATGATAAGTGTAGACGGACTTGAGTAAAAGATCTTAGGGTAGTCATCTTCAAAGTTTCATGTTTCAACAACAAATTTTCTAAAAATTTACAGACACTTTTCATCAGACTGCTGGAGGTAAACACATGTGATTTCATAGCATGCTCGTATTTCAGTTATTGACAACTATTTGCAAAAACACGGTATGTCAGTTGTCCGAAGTATGTCAGACTAGCTCTAGATGAAAGAACTTAACACAAAAACAGAGAGCTAAATCAGTTGCAGAGTGACTAGCATCGCCCAGTAGAAAACCTATAGAAGTTTCCTAGCTAACGGTCAACGCAAAAAAGGCATAATTGGCCAAAAAATTCCTATTTAGCTAAAACCGTCGAAGCAGTAGATGTACCTCCAACGACAAAAGTTCGAGAATTCGCCGCCGAAGAAGGCGAAGAAGGCTGGATGATGATGAAACGAGTGGACGAGAACTCGTCCGCATTCACGCTTTCTGCCACATTAACCGCCTTATTTGTGATTATGATAAGGTTATACTAGGCTATATCGTAGTCACTTAGCCACTTGTTGTTCTTTCATTCGTTTTTGAAATTTTTGTTAGTTTTGTGAAAGTTTTCTCGACATTTTCTGAAGTAGACGTTCAAAAGTTATCACTCGAGAAAATTTCGCAAATATCTTCTCATATTCCCATATTGACCAGCCCAGTGGTAATGAAATCAACATCATCAGTTTGCTACTCTCATTTTTCTTCTGTAAATCATAACAGACATTACCGGGTATTTTACTAAAAATTCTTGTAACTTTAATCGTTTGTGCAATGTCTGTATGTTATCAGTGTGTGCGACATGAACTCATTTACATTTGTTCTACATTTTTCCCTGAGTTCTTTATATTCTTGCTATAAAGATTATTATCATTACCATTATCAATTATTATCAATTACTATACTCAATTCAGCGTGAAGATTCTGAATTTATAAAAAAAATTTTGATTTTTTTTCGAGCTGAAAACACAGATTTGATTTTTCTTACCAAGCTTCATATCGCTGCTAATCTCCCTGAACGAGCCTGAGCAAGGAAAGGCTTGATTTATGCGATTTCGATAAGATTGTCGAATCGCCTGTTCACATCAATTTTCCATTGAAAATTTATTGCTGATTGGTTGTAATGCGCGAAGAACAGCGGCACCTCGCAGTTTTAGTTACCCAGGGAATGTTTTGTATTATATGATGAATCAAAAGCGGAAGGCCGGAGGGGAAGTAAGAGGTAAGCAAGTTCGTTGTATGGTAGATAGGGCTCGGCACGAGATGGCTTCTTGAAGTTGCAAAAAACGAAGTCTCCTTTGACCTGACAATCAAATTATGACATCGGCCACGAGATATTAGAAGAGAAAATACATGAAAAGGAACGGAACAAAGCAAAACAGAAAAAAAACGTCAAAAAATCAAACACACGCTATGATATCTATATTCTCCGGATTGGCGACATGATGTATCCAGCTCGCAGCAATACGCGCCTAGAGCATCCTTTCTTTCCGCCGCCATTCAAAATATTCGAGGGGCTATAACTAAGTGGGAAGAAGGGGGTTTGAGGCGGTTTAGGAACGAGTTTGTAGTGTTTGAAATGTAGATGAAACTTGTGTAAAGAAAGTAGAATTATGTGAGAGAGGGAACATTACAACTTTTTCTTTCCCAAGTCACCTCAGGTGGCTTCCAAATGGCTTGAAAGCCACCTAACTCCGAAAAAAGTTGAGCACGCCTTCAGTTCACATAATTTTTTCATAATTTTTCACACATAGTCCCAACTTCCCATTGCCCATCTACACACCTATTTTGGTGCCATTTCATCTTCACTTCGCTGTACACAAACCCGTTGTTTATTTGCTGGCGATATGCCGGCAGCGTGCCGGCGGCAGATCGAAAGACAGCGTTATGCTCTTCCGCAAAAAACGATATCCCCTTTGCTTTTCCCCCAAAAACGATGTCCAGCTTGCTTTGCAAGCCAACTGTGCCGTGCCCTGATGGTAAAACATATTGAGCAGCTGTGAAAGTTCTTCCATTTCAGCGTAGGATCAATAGGTAGTACAGAAAATAACAAGGACTAAATACCATCACTTATCGTTGCACTTTGTGCTCTTCTTTTTATAGCAGTTACATGTTGAAGAAGAATTCTTCAATCAGGCTGGCCATCAACAATAAATGGAGCATCTCTCGTTCAAGTTTTCTTCTTTTCTTCGAATGTGGCGCATCTTTCGCTGGTATATCAGGTCGTCACGAAAATTAATTCGTTTTTTGAAGAAACGCCATGTTTCGCGGAACAAAGTTTCACAAAAAATATTATAAGCATTCAGTGCAGATTGACACGCTTTGAAATACTTGTATTTTCGCTGCAATTGACTCAAGGAACTTTTAAAAAACATCAAAACAAGATCCATGGTTTGTCATAGTCATGTTTCTCTTTTCTGATTTTTTACACCGATCTTCCGAAGAGACTCAAGTGACGCATGGATAGAACAAATCCTAGATAAAAGGATTTCTTTCTATTGCTTGCATTTCAAAGCTTCTGAAATTATTTTTTTAGATCCTATCAATCTCCATATTCGGTTAACTCAAACTTCATGGAACGTCAACTAGCGAGCAAGTCAGCGCCGTTCGATGCAGCTTCTTCTTTGGCAGGCGTTTTTGTTTGATCCGTAAAGTCTTCGGGAATAAAAACGTTTTTACCATAATTCACCATAATTCATGTTTTTAAAAACGGTTCTTAGATGATATGAACACGTAAAATTGCAAAATTAGTACTGATTTGAAATTATTTCTGGAAGTTAAATTCCGAATTTCTACAGGTTTTGATGCATTGGTGTGCGCGGGTGAAATCTTTCAAAAAAAAACTATGGCAAGTTACAGACAGGAGCTAAGAATTCTGTATCCAGCGAGTACTCCATCAAAATGTTACCTGGACTTACATTTTCGACCATATCGGTCGGAAATTCAGGAAAAAAAAGCGAAACTTGGCCATGGCAAAATTTTTGGGTCGTCTATATCGTTGAGGTGATTTTCTGAAAGCTCGATGTAGCAACAAAAATATAACCGTTTGAAAGGGCTTGAAAAACTGCATCGAATGCTATCGTTTTATAAAGAACTAGCTGGCTTACCCGGCTCCGCCGTATCCGGACCAAACTTGGCACACATACACTTCGGGCCCCGGCGGGTGTCACAGTCCACTTTTCGTTATCGATCGATGTCGATTTTACCGATTTTTATCAATTTTTTTGCAGAGTTCACCTACAGGGCTAGGAGTTGGCACAGGGGGGAAGTGAGCATGGGGATTCCGAATACAATATTCGTTTTCAGAATTACAGATTACTTTTATTGATTTTATCGATTTTTTGTAAATTTTGACATGCGAGGCGGGGATTTTGCACAGGGGGGTAATCGAGCATGCTGATTACGAACACAATATTAGTTTTCAGGATCGTCCATTACTTTTATCGATTTTTTTGTAAAGTTTGAGCTACGGGGCTGGGAGTTCGCACAGGGGGGTAATCGAGCATGCTCGATTACCCCCCTGTGCGAACTCCCAGCCCCGTAGCTCAAACTTTGCAAAAAAATCGATAAAATCGATAAAAGTAATCGATAATTCTGAAAACCAATATTGTATTCGGAATCTCCATGCTCGATTACCCCCCTGGGCCAACTCCCAGCCCCGTAGCTCAAACTTTGCAAAAAAATCGATAAAATCGATAAAATCGATATCGATCGATACGAAAAGTAGCCTATGACACCCGCCGGGGCCCGAAGTGTATGTGTGCCAAGTTTGGTCCCGATCGGTTCAGAAATGGAATTTTCTATTCGGAACATACGTACACACATACACACAGACAGACAGACAGACATACAGACAGACAGACAGACAAACAGACATTCAGCTTTATATATAAGATAACTTCGCCTTTGTAAGCGAAGTTATGAGCAGTTTTACTGCGAAGAAATCGTGCACAAAAATTGAGAAATTAAGCCCATTATTGCCCGTTTGGCTCATCTTTAGTTATGAGCCATTTGTAATAACCTAGCTGGATGTTTTGATCTAACATTGTACCGAACATGGCTCTGTACGGCCAAATTTGCTTTTTACACGCACGAGCTCTTAACAAAAGGATGGTCTTTAATGACCTATAACTTCACCCACAAAAGTGTTCTGCAGACAATGGAGACAGATTTCGAGTCAGCTTTTATCAAGCATCTAATTTTAGTTGCAGTTTGCTTGGATTGGCCACTTCGAAGTTTGCAGTTCTTTACCTATAAGAAGGAAGGAAAAAAAGAGGTTGAAATATATCTTCTGTGCTCATTTTCATTGCTGAAGACTTGAACGATTTTCATTTACTGACATCTTAGTAAAAGCAAGCGTTTTACGACATCCAAAAATACGAGTAAATGTTTGCCGAAGCTCTCTAGGTTTGAGATATTCTTCTTCAAAAAACGATTCCAAGTCACAGAACAATATGCAAGGTAAGGCAAGACAAACGCTTTATAGAGCCGTTTAAGAATCAGCGGTTGCCTGTATGAATTGATCGAAGTATGGCAAATAAGACTGAAAAAGTTTTCCAACGGCATAATCAATATATTTTGAAAAATTCAACTAAGAATCAACTAGAACACTCAAATCCTTGGCAATGCAACCCTTCTTCTTGATCTCATAATCAGGGTCAAGCAAGAGGTGCGGCACTAGATCGAAAGATACGACCCCTCCCCCTCCTCTCAATTGCTGTCTCAATAAGACCTACTGAACTACTGAAAACCTAAGATAGGCAAAACACAAAGGCCTACCAAGCATAGTGAGTGACATGTGCATAATTAGCATATCAGGTAGCTCCTGTGGACAAGATTGAACGAATTTTGAAGTCTGCAAACACTTGGCCACCGTCGTTTCCGAACATGGTTAACCTTGTCTCAGAAGTGAACTAGCTACCTCTTTTTGCGCTCATTAGAAAGCACTATTCCATCTTTGTCCATCCGGCTTCAAAAAATCGCCAAACTGTGGAATCAGAAGCAAGCCAAAATCTCGTTTGATTCATTTTCCACTTTCTATCTCGGGAAAGCCAATTAGGTTTAAATCACTTCCGTGAAAATTACGATGTCTGAACTACTGAATATATATATTCTTGCTGCCTTCCCTTGCGATTCACGTAGTAGAGCAGACTCAGCATGTTACCGTAACCCAATATCTTCGCAGTTCTTTCCATTTGCGTAAGTAAGGACAACGCCCCCATATCGGTTGACGACGCTGGCTACATTCTGCTGTTGATTTGGCTAGATTCTTCTGTGGATCCTGTATTCTACTCCTTCTACCTCCTCACGATGGCGACAGAGACCCCCATATATCCCCTCCAACCCATCGAACGACAAAAGAAGCGCAGGATACAATTCGACGCCACACCTCCTGACTTCAATCAAGCCGCGGAAGAGCTACTAAAAGACGAAAACCTCCCACTCTACGCAAGGACCATTGTGGCGTTTTTGATGGAAAACCGGAAACTCTACGAAATGGTAGCTGAACAGAATCGTGAGTTACTTGTTCAACTTAAATCAATGTCTGAGGAAATCAATACATTGCGTAAGGATAACGAGCGCCTTAGATCTTGTATTGAGCGATCACCGCCGCAACCTCTGCCCTCTACTCAATGTTCGATTTCTACATCTCATTCCAATCCAAACTCTGGTTGTACGTGTGAAGAACGTGATCGTCTACACTCTTTAGTGATAAGCGGTGTTCCAGAGAATAGATGCCCTAGTAGTTGGATGAGAGTAAACCATGATAGGGATTGTGTTAATCAAATTTTTGACTACCTCTCTATTGATTGCATACCCACTTC